TTCTATAGGACACCCCTGGCCACCAACTCAAAAGGACGTGAGCATACCTGGCACTAGGTTTTTACTTGATAGCCTGTGGTGTCTAGGAGAGGTCTTGTCACCTACCCCCTCATTATAGAGTAACTCTGTCTAAACTCAAAAGTGTATATGCACTTTAGGAAGTATCTGCAGTAGTGTGTCTCCATATGGTTTTTCCAGGGTACTTAATGTTAAGCTTATCCCTCCCCCATAAGCCACAGGTGTCTTAACTTTGGACACTACTTGGAAGTCTAGGCTCTTTCCATTTTCTTTTTCAATACCTGCACTAAATTAAACATTATTGACTTTAATGTTTTCTGGTAGATTTCTTTGTCTATTAATTTCTCAGGGAAACAGAGAGCCTCTTTGAAGTGGGTTGCACTGACTTAGGGAGTAATCCCTTTATGTCTGTTGCTGTGGCCTGCAGGTGACCGAGGAGACAAGCCTCATCCTGCAGACGCTTGGCTACACATGCACGTGTCGAGGCATCATCAATGTGAAGGGGAAAGGGGACCTGAAGACGTACTTTGTAAACACAGAGATGTCAAGGTCCCTTTCTCAGAGCAACTTAACATCCTGAAAAGCTGTCCCTTCCTGGCAAGAAGAGTGTGCTTGCAGGAGGGTACCACGCACTTTCTGACTGCAGCCTTCGTCCCTCGTTTTGATGTACGTGCTCTGTCCCATCCTCTGGAGCCCTTGCAGACTAGTTCCTGTGACCCAGTGGCATACTGTTTGGTGTCTGCGTGCGCCCAGATTGTCCTGCCACTCGCACTGTGCTTACTCCTAAGCAAACGGAGAAGGAACGTGTCCTAGAAGGAGAGCATTTAAAGAAGTGGTGAAGAGAGAGGCGGAACGAACACAAATTCTTAAGGCAATAAAACTGGGGGGTATACATTATCTTCTGGTGCATGTTCTTGTCTGGAAAATACGGTAGCTCGTAACTGCATCCTTAGTCTGATATTCAAATACACAGTATTTGTGAATAAGTTGATCCTGTCACCCAGCACGGAGTCTGTGCTCACCTACCCGCGTGTCTCGTTGCCAGCGGTCACCTGTGGGCCTCAGTTGGGACTCGCAGCCCTTGTCACCTTGCTCTGTTGTCCTGTGGCGTCAGCACATTGTCATCCATCACCAGAATTAGTCCTCACAGCCTAGGACCGGTTTTGTACCAAACTCGTCTGATGTTTTGATGCCATTTGTCTTTTGTAAGTTTAATTCATTAAAGTTTTATGTACTTTGGTTTATGGTGCTGCATTTTTTCTTTTCCTTCTTTTTTTTTAATCCTATGATATGGTCCAGAATGAGAGTTTGTTTTCCATCTCTCGCCCTTGTCAGAAATGGCCTAGAAGGTAGGACTGAGACATACCCTTGCATGGTGGAGATAGCGACAAAGTTTGTGATGCAGTGAATTGTGAAATGGTCGTCTGGGAGGAAAGAGTCTGTGCCCAGTGTATCCGTTGGTCTGGGCTTAATTTTTGTTGTCTTCCGAGAACCATTTAAACAATCTGAAGTCACTACAAGCTCACAGCCCTGAATGCCTACCGGACCCTTGTGAAGGGCGATACCTTGCCAGGGCTGGCACAGTCAAACAAAGAAGAACTATTCGGAGTCGGCTCTGCCAGTCGGGTGGCACGGTGGCCTGAACTAGCTGCCTGTGATGTCTGAGGAGGCTGAAGAAGGCCTGCATGTAAATCCAACTCTGGAGTTGCTTGGGCTTGGCTATTTTTTTTTTCTTTCTTCTTTTAAGGTAAAGAAATTACACTTTTTGCCAAATGATGAAAAAGAGAAATTGTGCATTTTAAAAAGATGTTTCCTCTTTTAGTTCAGATGAGGCTTCTGGAGGAGTCAGAGGTCCTAGACAGGCTGCCAGGAAACAGCTGATTAGTGGACACCCCGACGTGAAGCACAAGCCTCCAGTTCGACTCCTGGCTCTCATTTTTCACTAGCTGCACGCCTTGGAGCACATCTCCTAATTCCTCTTAGGAGTCTTTAACTCCTTGCAAGCCCCTGGGATCCAGTTGTGATTAAACGAGCTAATGGTTGTGAGAGGACTTGGCAGTACCCAGCATGCTCTCGCCAGCGTGCGCACAGCTGCCATGCCCGGACTGCCACTCAGACTGTCCTTCCACACCCCAGTGTGAATACAGCGTGACCTTTCAATGCTTTGTCTCAGTGGGGCACTTTTGGATCCTGTAATCACAGCACTGTGTGATAGGCTTTAGTACAGTTAAGTCTCCGAATGGTAATTGAAGGGAGAGCCTTGTTGTTAGGGCATCCCTCTTCCCTCTAACCAAAGCCTAGGCTAGCACGTTGGAGGTGCCAGTGAGTTCGGTCATCAGCAAGTGTGTCCGTTGTGTCCGTCCTTCTTTGCATCTTACACCCACGTTGTTCTAGGTTGCCACGCCCTGGTAAATAGCTGTTTGTGCAATCCATCATGTTTCCTCAAACAGCCCCCCCCCCCCCCCCCCCCCCCCGCCGAGAGACAGTGGACAGGCATTGCGGAGAAAAGAACCTGGGAGGGCAGAAGCCAGAGCTGTCTGAAACATCAATAAAAATTTGCCAGCATCTAAGGTCCTTGTCAGCATGTGCCTTACACGGCTCTGGGCTCACACCAGCCTCTCAGGATGGCATCTCAGTGGGCATACTCTCAACCCAAGCCCAAACCACTGAAGAAGAAAACTGGCCCAGCCCATGTTTACAGATTCCCAAGTGACTGCCTTCCATGTGTTACATTCAAACCTTCCCAGGTGTTTCGGATCACTGTCCCAATTTGAGACTCCCTCCGCTTCAACTATAAATTCGGAGATAGGTGCTGAGCCACCCAGCCTATGACTCCCAGTCTGATGGCTGCTCTGTGGCCACGGCACTGCCTGTTTTATCAAATGGGAAGCAACCGCTCCTGGTTCGAGCTTCTGAACCTCTGAGGGACAAAATTATCCTTGGAAACATGCAAATCAGAGTAATTCCCGAGACCACCATCAGTCATGTGAAGCCCCTTCTCAAGCAACCCCCTCGCTGTTTAACCTTATAGGAAGCCTACCCTGAAAAACTCCAGTCTAGTTCCCCAATGCCTGTGCTTTAACGTGGCTGGACATGGCTGAGATCTGCTGCCAGCCAGTCCTCCAGGGTTCTCTTTGCCTCTTTAATGAGCTTCTTGAAGCTACCACATCTCTCTGCCTTCCTTTGCTTCTTCGTCAACACACATATATGCAAGAACCAACATCAAACAAACAGCGGTGGGGATTTGGTAAGCGAAAATACGTTCTATTAGTGTAGGCGAGAATTCTCCAGGCTGGAGACATGGCTCGGCAGTTCAAACCACTCACTGCTCCTGCAGAACCCCCAGGTTCATTTCCCAGCGTCCATGTCTGGTACTTATGTCTGCCTGTGGGTCCAGCTTCAGGAGATGTGATGTTCTCTTCTGTCCTCAGCAGGCGCCAGCTGCTGAGCACATGACCGCACACAGACATACCCACACGCTCCCAATTTAAAAGAAACCTTCAAACAAAATCATGTCTCCCCTTAGGATGTCTGTGACTCGCATCCATTTACTGGCTGTAGTCGTTGGGAAGCCAACAGAAACCCATTTGATTTTCCTTTGCTACCTGCTAAAGGCGAGGCCTTTTGAAACCTTGACTTCATCCTTTTATAAAAGCAAGCAGCATGCTGTGTGGGATTGTGCACACCTTCGACCCCAGAGCTTGAGGGAGGGAGACAGGTGGATCAAAGGAGCAAGGCCACACTTATTCTCACCATGACTTTGAGGCCAGCCTGAGCCCTGCAAGAAGACCCTGTCTCCAATTCTCCAAAAAAAAAAGGAAAAGGAAAAGAAAGACAGAGAGACAGAGGGAGGGGGAGAGGGAAGGAAGGGAGAGGAGAAAGAGACAGAGACAGAGAGACAGACAGAAATGAACAAAAGAGAGCAAACAGTTTAAGGATGTAGGAACTGAAGTAATGAAAATAACAGTTTGACATTAATTTATTTCATCTGCTTATTTATAAGAATAAATTTCTATAACCTAGATTTTTGTATGTTTTTATATTATTACTAATATGTTATCATGTGCCCAAGAGCACATAAACTATTGCTATTTATTTGGGAGAAAAAGAAAATTTTTTTCAGAAGATAAATATTTAGGAGTTACCCAGCCTTGAAATTGCCAGCAATTCAGGATCATTTGTCCTTAGAGAAATCACCTTGCAGATTCCAAACAACAAAACCAGTGACTGAGTACCAAAATTAATTAGATCACCTGCCAGTTAATGCTCAACTGTGGGAAATTAAATCGTGGTAGATATGAGAGATGATTTCTTCCAAAGGATCCATTCATTAAAAATATATCTTAGTGCACGAGTGTGCATCAAATTCTCTTGCAAAATAAGTGCTTTTAACATAGGTTAAAAATCAGCTGCTTCCGAAAGAGGAAACTATCCGAAAGGAAAGTCCTGGGCTGGAGATGGATCTCAGTGGCAGTGTGCAAGGCACCAATAGCAGTAATGCAGGCGTGCATCCCTTCGGGGCTCGGGACTGTGCGCACGGCAAGTGGCCCCTCTGGTAGCACTCTGATTCACATGAAAACCCGTCTACGTTTGGAAATTTCACTTAAAGATGACCAGATAACAGATCAAATAGAAAGGAAACGCTAAGGCTGTCCAACACCAGAGTCCAGCCTGTGTCCTGCACCTTTGACAGCTTCTCGCTGGGGGAGTGACGGCGCCACCCATTCAGTTCTCAATTATGCAAAATTCAGTTTATCCGTGACCTCGAGAAAACAGCACGTCCTGTCTAGAGTTCTGTCATGTCGTTGTCTTGTTTTTTACATCTCCTCTCAGAGAAACATGGAAGGGTTGTTTGTGTTGTGGGCATGGAGGTTTCCCTACGTGACAGAGGGGGACCCAGGTGACGCTCCTGTCAACTCCTCCTCAGAGCATTCTTGCAAAGTGGGAAGCCAGCACACAAAAAAACATGGCTGCTACACAAGGGAGGCAAACTTTTCTTTTATTTGGGGGCTCAGAATGAATCAGCTGGTGTGATTTTTAAATAAATCCAGGGGAAATCCTTGCGCTGGGGCTTTTGGGCACGAGGAAAAGTACTTGGCCAAATTCTGAGCCAAAGTCACCTTAGATATGCGTGTGCTTCCCCACCCCCATGGTCTCAGTGCATCCTTGCAGCTATAGGTGACAGGAATGTAAAAGTGAGATTGGAGCCCCCCCTTCCTGTGCCACCTTGCTTGCTGGCAGCGCACCTCAAAGTGCCCCATACGCCGCCAGGCTGCTTCAGGCTGGAGTGATGTGCCCAAACCCAGGCACCTTGATGCTGGGGATGTCGTTCTTCCGGTAGAAGTCCGTCTGCACATGGTTCACACGGCCGTAGCCTCTGTTCAGGGGCTCGATGGGCTGATTGATGCGTTTCCCATAGACAGAGGACATCAGCACCGGCACAGTCCTTTCCTGTTCCTGGGAAGATGAGACGCGCAGTCACCGCCGTGAGCTTAGGAACCTTTATGCCCACTGTACGTGAGCACAGCGGCCCGTCCTCCAGTTGCCTCTCACCCAGGTGGCATCTTGGCGATTTCTGCACACCTGCAGCTGCACAGCCAGGGACCCCAGACCCGCTACTGTCATCCCGCAGTCTGGAGGAGACCTGAGACCCTGAACCGGACACCAGCTGTGGTCTGACTTCAGGGGCTCTCCCTCCTCCTTCCATCCCCTCCCCTGCCCTCCCCCTGGCCAGCCCCTCTCCACCCCAGCACACAGAGTAGCAGCCTTGAGCTCCCAGGCTTTCTTCTTCCCACTTGATGTCAGCAGGAGTCTTTCCTGGCCCTTCCCCTCCCCAGGACCTCCTCATCCCTTTCACCATCCCTACGCTTTGAAGGGCTTTCAGAGCATGTCGTCCACCAGCGCGGAACCAGGTTGTCTCTCTCTCCTCTCTTCGCCAGAATTTGGCTTTAAGAGGCCGGGCGGGAGCTGGCTCCTTAGTCCCTTTGTGCTCCACAGTAGAGAGGAGAGCGCCAAACAATACCTCATCTGAGCCGCCTTCTTCTCTTCAGAAAATAGGAACTCAGAATGCACCCGACATGAGCATTCGGGGAAATCAGTGGTGCCGGGCGCCTTTGTCACTTACCTCTAGCTCAAATTAAGAGACTAAAAAGTGATGGGATAGAAGGAGCCTCACACATGCGAAGCAAGCACTCGGCCACATCTCCAGACTTGGCAATCTGAGTAACAGCCACAAGGGAAAAACTCTAGCGGCTCAATAGAAATCCCACCAGAAGCTTGTGTATCATAATGTCCATTTGACATGCTGTCTAATAGTCTCTGTACCCAGCCCCTGGCCTTTAAAAAGCCTGCCACCCTCACTCAGAACCAAGGAACATGTCAAAAGGCAGAAGTGGCTGACACAGACCAGGCTGGGCACAGCCTGGCCCAGGAGAGGAAGCACCCCAACACCTGTCCTCTAGCTGTGACTTTGACAGAGGAGCCACCTTCCTTTGCAGCTGACCCCATATAATTCCTCCCTTTGGGGAAGACTGGGGAGGCCAAAGCAAAGCCGCCCCCACATGGCGGGGACTTGAGAACTAGACTTGGAGAAAATAAAGACCAGTGTCCCTAAGAAAGCTGCCACAGCTGGGGCTCCGTGTGTAAGCAACCAAGGATTTCCTATCTGTTGGAAAGCGCTTCCCTGGAACCAGTCAGAAAAATTAATGGAAAACTGGCATCATAGAAAAAAAGCTTAACTTCTTAGCACAACAAAATAGCTGCAAGCCACATAAATAAAGCTGCATAAAACAATGCAACACATTGTCAAATACGTGTATATGGTCGCATATACATATGTAAGCCTGTATATATATGCAAATATAAACATAAATAAGCACACATGTTAATACTTGTACATATGCAACATACATGTATATGCATGGATATCTGCATGCTCTTACATGCATGCAAATACATACATGTGTATGAAAATGTATGCACATCTGTATGAAAATGTATGTTCAATATATACACATGTATGCACATGGTCATGTACATACAAGTGTGTACCCACTATACATGTATATTCATATACACACATAAATATGTATGCATCCACACACACATATTCACACTGAATGTGTGAACCCGTATATGTGTGGACACATACTCATGTGCACAGTTGATGGTCTAGTAATATCATTAGTATATCTTACCTCCTCATTAATATGAAGCCCCAGGTTTTTGGCGTGTTCTCTGTCATCTCGATGTAATTCCTGATTATAATCTAGTCTCCTCTTAAAAACACAGTCATAGAGGGAGATGATCCCTGTCTGGAAATAAACAGAGATGGTCACAGGTGTGCTTGAAGGATGAGCCACTAGTATATGACACAGGATTGAACCCAACACCCACCCAGTGGGTATTAGGATTACAGACAGTTCTTCCTGTCCAACCTGGTCCCACAACCACATCAACCCCAAATGAGCACATGGATGCTATATTGGTTATAAATCTGTTGACCGGTGACTAGGGCTTCTTATTGGCTAGCTCTGTCTTAATTATTAACCCATTTCTATTAATCTATGTATTTCCACATGGTCTTATCTTACTGGAGAATGCCTGACTCGCATCCTCTCTTCCTAGGATCACTCGGTGACTGCTCTCTGCCTGCACCTCCCAGAATTCTCATCTCCTAGACCCACCTAGCTTGTTGCCCTATTGACCAACAGTGTTTTATTCATCAACCAATGAGATAAACGTACACATAAGGACATCCCCCATCAGACTGGAATGTGCAGAATTTCCATTTGTGTGAGTGAGCTCTGAGGAGGTCACCACACACGGCTGACCTGGCTGTGACCTGGAGCAGAGAGGAGTTGAAGAGCATTGTGGTGAGGACCAAGTCGGAATGCAGGGGTTCGGCAGCACCTCTCCTCTGCTCCTGGGCAATCCTCCTTGAGCTGTTCCTCAGAGGCTGTCCCCTGGGGATGCTATTGCAAGAGCTCAGGCCTTAGTCCTTTCAGGTTGCTTTGTGGAAATGATGTGGACTGAGCAGTTCATAAGCAAAATGTGTTTTTCAGTTTAGAGGCCGGAAGTTCAAGGTCAAGATGTGGGCGGGTTCAGCACCTGGGGAGGGCTACTTTCTGCTGCACACGTGGCACCTTGTCTCCGCATCATCGCAAGGGAGAAAGAGCACAGAGACTCACTCTGACATCTGTGATGGAGGCACCAAACCCATTCATGAGAGCCCCACCCTCAAGACCTGTTCTCCCAAAGACACGCCTACTGACCACATGGTGAGGTTAATTGTAGGGGATGTAAACACTCAGACCAGAGTAAATCTCTTCTAGCTGACTAAGGAAAGAGAGAGAGACAGACAGACAGAGACAGAGACAGACAAGCAGAGAGAGAGACAGACAGAGACAGAGAAACAGAGAGAGGAGTGAGAGAGAGAGAAAATGCATATGTGCATGTGCCTGTGTGTGTTTGTATATGTGTGTTTTATGTATTTTTATTTCTCAGAGTTTCTAATACAACCTTATTTTGCTATGAAAAATCATCAGTCACTGGATGCCATGACAACATAACCAAACAGGAGTTACACTCCAAGCTTCTGGTAAACGGTCAGACTGTCTATATGTAAACCCCCTCTTGACAGAAAAATATATATATATTTTCTTAAATCCCACATATAGCTATAGCACTTAGTATTGATATCCATGAATATATGTAATATGTCTACAAGTATAACATAAACACAAATTACACATATAAAGATGCATGCACACACAGCTTAGATGTTCTGGAAGATGTCCTGTTAATATAACTATTTTCTATATATCTCTGACTTTCTTCTTCCACTTTTTGTTAGTCAATCTGCTTGTGTGGTGTCTAGTAAAATAAAGAATCCATGTGTTAGGTGGTATTTCATCTTCACCTCCCACGTAACTCTAGATTCTCTGATTCCTTTGGGGGGGGACTCAGTTTATCTCTGGGATTAGAATTGAGCGCCAGCTGTGTCACTTACCCTGGATTAGTTTAGGTGTTTGTTTATTCCTGAAGATGATGCTGGAATGATTTCCTCCGTGGGACAGAGATAGACTAAATAGTGGAAAGAAAGGGCTCACACTCTCGTGCTGAGCAGACTGGAAAACACAGCCACCCTGTTTACAAAGCGCAGGGACCCGGAGGTGCTGGGGTGATGGGAATGGCCAACAACTCAGTTCCCAGTCATCAGGACATTCATGGCGCATATACCAAGTAGATTTGGGGAGGCAGCTCACACCAGCCGTGCCCTGATGTGACTACCATCCAGTGAGGGAAACGATGGGGTTCTTGAGAATCGCTGTTCTGAGAGTTGTAAGAATTTTACCAACAGTGTGATATACAGGGAGCTTTCACCCACTGGCAGAATCTAGCTTGACTAAACTCATGTCTGCATCCTGCTGGTCATTAGTGTGTTTACACCAACTGCCCTGGGCGATGCATCTCCTGAAGGTGATACATGACCTAGAGAAAGGTTTGTTTTGTTTTGTTTTTTAAGCTAACTCAATGGAGAATTGATAAATTATCAGCATTTGGTGCTGCAAAATTGGCTAGTTCCTTGTGTCTTCACATCACACTGTAGACAGCAGTAAATTCTAGATGAAATGGGAAAATAAGAAAAAAGGAAAACCCATAAGGGGCCTCCTACACATGAAAGCAATAAGGAAAGTATCACAAAGAAAGCTTCAATCACTTTGACTCTATAAAACTAGACATTTGCTTATCAAATAAATCTAAGTTTCTTTAAAAGCCCGTTTTAAGGCTTGACAGGGGAATCTCAGTGTCTTGAACACTCGGTACAGATCTGCTGCTGCAGAAGCTGGTAGGCCGCCAGCCCTCACAGGCAAAGCAAAGCTTTCTGGGAGAAGCAGCAGGGGCCCTTCAGTAGCACAGAGGAAGCCCAAGCAGGACACACAGTCAGCAGGGATGGTGGGTGTAAACTCTCTGCCTGCTGGTCCTGGCCCTCTTCAAGGGAGGGTTATCAAGATAACAGGCATAGAGCTATTGACCAAGACTGGGTGAGGCTCCCAGCAAGACAAGCATAAATAACTTGAAAGCCCGCCACACCGTGCTAGATCCACGTACACAAGGACATTTTTTTAATTTTTAATTTTACTTGTGTGTTTGTGTGTGCATCTGTGTGAGTGAATCCATGTACGTGAAAGTAGCTGCAGAGGCCAACAGAGGGCGTTGGATCCCCTGGAGTTGGAGTTACAGGTAGCTGTGAGCCACCTGAACTCAGGTCCCTTGGAAGAGCAGCAAGCGCTTTTAACTGCTGCTGGTACACTCTCGGTTTCCCGTTGCCTCTGTGGAGGCCCTCCTACGCAGGCTAACACCGTGCTGTCTGCATGTTTGGAGGAGACCAGTCACGGTTCACAATACAATCACACATGCGGTCAAGTCATTCCCTTCTGCACTCTGAGAACCACATATAAAAGTGGGAGAGAATGGTTTTCCCCACCCGGCGCCCAGCAATGCTCCCATTGGGTAAGTAGCTAAGACGGCTCTGGTAAGGGGACCCACATGGGTGAGGCGGAGCATCAACGGATCTGCCTGGGCTGTACTTCTTGTCCCCAAACTCTAACCAGGCCAACCCTCCTGAGTGCAGAGGGTCCTTCTGGGGCCCTGAGCTGATCCCAGAAGAAGACCTAAAGGCAGAAGAACAGATTAAGAAGAAAATGAGCAGTAACCGCTGTTACCCGAACACTCCGCACCACAGAAACCTACTGCAAGATGCGGCTTCACAGGAAAAAAGAGAAAAACAGTCTATTTCTTTTCATTTTAATGAGATGGTCTAAAACTCCGTCAGGAGTGGCAGCTACCCAAGCGGCCTCCCAGTTCCAGGACGTTGCAAGCACCTGGGACATCTTGATCTGGGTTAGGGATTTCTCTGCAGGGACTGAACAGTAGATGCTCCCTGCCCCCTACGGAACACCACCACCACCACCCACCCACCCACCCACCATCCACCACCACCCCGGCCGTCATGCGTGTGCTGCATATTCAGAAGTAATAAGTGAAGTTTTCTATCATCAAAGAATAAGAATAAAAAGAAAACAATGACTGGCAGACAGGCAGCCTCACTGAAAGAAGCGCTGTTCACCCCCATTGCCTGGGCAGGACCAGAGTTACTGATCTATGACCAGAGTTAGTCTTCCGTTACTGATCTTTCCTCCTTTGTTCCTTCATTCCTTTGTGACTTGAGGCAAGATGATTTTAATAAAAACAAATTGGGACTGAGATTCTATCACAATACAGTCTTAGTGCTGCACAATTAAAGTCAGTCTCAGAATCACTTATGTCTCTCCCTCAGATTCTGCTTTTAAAAAACAGAGCGAAACAGAAAATATTAGCTTGTGACTTCTGCCTGTGACCTCTGCCTGTGACCCCTGCCTTCGTCTGTGTGTGCATTAAGAATCACTGGAACATGGTCCCACCGTGTACTACTTGTGGTGGTGTCTGATGTCCTCAGTTTACCTCCTGTGCCCCCAAGTCCTGATACTGACTAGTCTCCAGCCAGGTGTATGTGTGAACATCATCTGTGCAACTGGGGCCTTGTGTCTTCCACTCCCATCATGCCTTAGGTCTGCTCCTTCTGCAGTTTGGACTCGGGTCCAAGTGTGGAGATTTGATTTCCGTTGCTAGGTATTAAGGGCTGGGACTCTACCTGAATATAGCGTAAGAGGTGGTACCTTCCACGATGATTGACATTAGGTGGGGTTATCAGGGCAGTTTGCTGGCTCTATACTGAGTGAGGCAGAGGCCAAGGAAGCCCAACTGTGCACACTCCTGGCCCTCAGTGTGCCCTGCACTACTGCAGGAAGCACACGTGTGCACACTCCTGGACCTCAGTGTGCCCTGAACTACTCCAGGAAGCACACGTGTGCACACTCCTGGCCTCCCAGTGTGCCCTGCACTACTAGTCCAGAACACTGAATCAGTGAGGCCATTAACACAAGTAGTTTCTGGAAGCCTCAGAACCGCGACCTAAATAAACATTTTCTTTATAAGACACGCAACCTCGGGTATTTCATTATAGTGATGGGCAATGAGCTGAAAATAACTGTAAGGTGCCACTGTAGACTCCAGGACAGAAATGTGGGGACCGTACTTTTAATAAGACTACAGTCTGAGCATGGGAACAAAGCCCCACACTGAAATATATAAAACATAATAAAAATGCTAAAATCATTCAGATGAATTGATGGAGCACGGAAAAGTCGAGTGTCCCAAAAGAAGGGGTTTTAAGTTCTCATTTGCTCTGAGCTCATGGACATCTACCTGG